GGATTGCGAAGGGGTCGGCGGTAAGAGGATGGCAGAACTCGCCCAATAAAATGGTAATTCCTGTTTGCAGAAGTTAACCATGCGAGCGAGCCTGGAGATTCGAGTCCATGCGTACTCCCTAACTCCAAAGACTAATAATACTCTCGGGGCCGAGAAGTGAGCCGACAGTGATATAGTTGTACGGAAGGAACCCCGTGAAATCGCGTACGTTCGCGCGATCTTCGATCTCACTTTGGGATCCTTTCGGTAGGAAAGTGTGCGAGTGTCACGTGGACCATGCTATTAGGGAACACGATACGGCGAAAAAATTAAGGGGTGAATCGTGGATCGAGAGGATGAAAAGAACGGGGCTTTAGATTGGAATTTTGAGAGTTTCGCGTCAAGATTAAGGGGTTGCACTGTTCTCAATAATTCTTTTTTTTTTTTTTCGTTGAGATAATATAAATCTCTGATGAGATGATTTTATAGTACGTGGTATGTTGTGTATTATTGAATAATATTCATTGTTGACTGAAATGGCACTAAAATCGCCTAGAACAAATTAAAATTAGCGTGGGTCTATTTTATAGAATTCGAATATTGTTACACAATATTGTAATTTCAAACTAGTGACAAGTTACAAATCAACGAATAACAGCTTCTAATAATTAAAATTCGTAAAATGCCTTTCGAAACTTCGTTCGGTTGTTGCGAAACTTGTCATTCTTACGCGAAAATAATTGACTAACACTAACAATCTATAATTTAATAAGCACGATGAATCATCAAGCAAGAATTTCTCCAAGTAGAAAGAGTCGAACCTGTCAGACACGCCGAGATCGTAATAACAAGACCAAAAGTGTCAAAGTTCCACTTAGAATACAGATTCTGGCGAAGTTTGCTCCGCGATTACAACGTAACGAAGAAACCTACGTGGTAATTGATTTACCGTGGAGTTGATCGGTCAGCAATACGCGTATACCGCGCGTTTAGGCGACATCGTCGAGATTGGAGGCGGCAGTCTCCACGGCAATCTCTTAACGGCTGAAATTGGCACGGAAATCGTGGCTTTATTAAATTTGTTTAGGGACAGGTAAGGGGATGAGGTGGAGGTAGAGGAGG